TTTCTTCCCAAAATGGCAAATTAAGTTGGACAATAATTAAACCATTTGGATTATAGCTCAAAATTTTGTGAAATCCATTAATGATGGATAAATACACAAGGTTGAAGGCTTGTATAGAAATATTATGCAGCCTAACATTGAGATTGGATTATGTGTTCATCAAGAAATGGCTTGTAATTCAAGAATGAAACCCTAACTTCTTGCCTTCGATTCTACTAGCTCAAATATGATATCAATGAGTTCTTGGAAATTTTGGAAAGATTGTAACATCCTTTACAACCTTCATGTTGGACATTTTTGAAAATTCCAATTGGAACTAGGTTAAGTGTTTCCACGAAGTTAGGTCAAAATCCTGCCTAAACTAGGGCAAAATTTCACTAAGTCCTTAAGTTTCATGAACATGTCTTCAAAAAATCATAACTTGAAATCCAAGAATTTATATAAAAATTTCTATTCTACAATATTTTATATCTCATTGAGATCTACAACTTTCATGTTGGAGGTTTCCTTTGAATCATCTTGCATCATGGTGGAAATTTGGTTCAAAGTTATGAAAAAAATGTGAATTTTCAACACTTAGAAAAATTCTAAGTCTTGGAAATTTTGACTTTTCAAAATGAAATCTTGACCTTTTGATTTATTGATGAACAAGATTCATATTTTTACATGTCTTGATGAATTGTAATCTTTGAAACTTGATTTTGATCAAAAAGTCAACGTTTGACTTTTCAGTGTACAATTGACTTTTCATCAAGTGATTGAAATTCAACTATCAATCAATTGATCTTGAGAAATGTTTTGAGCCATGACATTAGGTAAAAATGAAACATTTGAATCCTTGAGATCATGCCTTGAACCAATAAGTCATTTGCAAGGTTAAAAATCAGAAATTGCACCTTCTTAGTTAAAACCCTAATTTCGACCATTTTGCCCTTTTGATGATCTGATCAAATTTCTTGAGGAATTGTGATCCAAACATGATCAAATGACATATGTCAGTTCATAATATTGGTATGGTTAAACAATTATGAAGTTTGACTTTAAATTGACCATAATTGACTTTTTTTTCAATATAGTTGATTTTAGGTCAACTGCTCAATTAATTGAGCAAAAAATGTGATCCAGGACTTCAAACTTGACATGAGAAATATTGAGGGTCCAAAATAACCCATGAAAGTAATATGGGGCATTAAAAGTACATTTTTCCTTGTGCAAACTCAAACCATAATTTTCATTTACCAGTGCTTGAGGAGGTGTCTTGAGCTGATCAAACTTTGTGTAGTCTCGGACCAAAGGAGATCTTTTGAGAGATTTCTTGAGAAATGAGAGGGAAAATTTTGGGGTATAATACTTATATCTTCTCTTCTCTATTGCTTTTTACATTTCATTTTTGCAAGTCCTGTCAGGTTCTGACTTATTGCTTGTTGGCTTCTCGATTGGCCATTCCCCAGTGAAGCATTTAAACCTGCATCATTACATTGCATCTACTAAAATGCGTAGCATTTACATTATATGGAGAATTAAACTATAAAAGATGATTCAAACATGCATCGGTACATCAGCCATTACTGTTTCTGTTTTCCCCAAGTGAATTTGCTAAACTTCAAATTTTATCCCCAGCGAGGTCCTCATCCCCATTATCTCAATTTCACCCTATACAAATAACCTTTTGATGTTAATCATTTGAATGGTTGAGTGTCTACTCTTGATTGTAGTCCAGTTTTTCCCTGGCATAGTTTTCTCAGGTTTAGTCTTCACTACCCTCGTCGATTCATTCAAATATCTATTGATTTACCTTTCGAATACCAGTTTCGTCATGATATTCGCTTTCAGCAGGTTTATAGTTCTATGCCCTAATCACCTTTCTTTGGGTCGAGGTTTGAGTTTAGTCTCCTCACCCGCGCATGAAATCCAGTTCCGTCCTGGTACTCATCTAGTTTAGTTTTGTCTAACTAGTTATAATGGGTCCAGTTTCATCTCGTTTTTCTTTCATACCTTGGACATTCATCAGCGTTTGTTTACTGAACCCTTTATCAGTTTTCATTTACCGAGTCTCTTTGTAGTATTTGTAACTGCGTCTCTGGTTAAAATTAGTCTCTTTTGTTCCTTGGTTTTTCTATCAGTTTTCGTCACTGTTTATCCATTGATCTGAGACCAGCAAGTGCTCTGAGAAACATGCACACTCATCACTTTGCTTTGGGTCGAGTTTTGATCTCGTCGCCTGTGCATGAAATCCAGTTTTTTTGGGTACTCATCTAGTTTATTTTTGTCTAAATAGTTATAATGAGTCGAGTTTCGCCTTGTTTTGTTTCTTACTCCTGGGATTCTTTCTGTTCCTTCATACTGTCTATCTTGGGTTGAAACATTGTCTCTCTTATAACTTTTGGGATCTTTCAGTTCCATCTCACTATCTTCCCTTGGTTAGAGACCAGTAGGTGCTCTGAGAAACATGCACTCTCATCACTTTTGCTATGGGTCGAGTTTTGCATCGTTACCCGTGTGTGAAATCCAGTTTGGTCCTAGTACTCATCCAATTTAGTTTTGTCTAACTAGTTTTTATGGGTCAAGTTTCATCTCATGTTGTTCCTCACTCTTGGGATTCTATCAATTCCTTCATATTGTCTATCTTAGGTTGAGATTAGCAGGTGCTCCTAAAATCACGCACTCTAGCCACTCATCCCCACGTACTTTTCCAGAGTTTAGTTTTTCCTATTCTTTGTTTGGTTGAGTTTATCTCACCCTATTTTAGTACTCCGATTTTATCCTGGCATTTTGTTCAGAAGTTTAGTTTCGTTCAACGTTTCTTAAATCCCATGTTTGTTGGCTTCCTTTGTCTTCGGGGGGGGGGGGGGGGGGGGGGGTTCTGCTTCTTTTTCAAGACTGCAAATTTTTGGGTTCTTTCATATTCGATCATCTTCAACTCTGAACGCTTAAAAGTTGTCATTTTTCTCACTTATCACACTAAATACGATCGAATAGGAGCAGCTGTTGGACCCCAAAATTTACCCTCTTGATGTAGGCATATGTTTCATCATAAACATCATATTTCATTATATTCATACATTGTGATGGGATCAAAGTCTTCCTCAAGCCTTAGAATTTGATTGTATTGACAAGTTTCCCAAGGAGAGCCTTATTATCTTAACCTATGGATCTTTCAAGTCCCAAGGGTATCTCATATCTCAAGATATATTATCCATCTCATTGGGTCATCAGAATATTGAAGATTGTGTTGATTGTAAAGGGAATCACATTTCTGGGAATCATCAGTCAAAATTAGGGTTTTATCCAATTAAAGTGATCGAGGCTTATCTAAGCCAAATTCTTGAAGCATCATCATCGTGGGTATTATCTCGGTACATTTTCACTCATCAACTGATGATCATTAGGATATTAGGGTTTATATCTTTTATCCTTCTCGTTTGACTTTCCTTTCATTTGAATAAGAACTTGAGGTATGATATCCAAGAATCTTGTAGAGTTAGGGTTTTCTTTTGGTTTGGAGTTTCTACACCAAACTTTTTTTAGTGGAAATTCTCATTGGTCATAATTTAAGGTTCATTTCCCTATTTAGGAGATGATAAAAGGTTTTCTTGTAGAGTGGGTTTATTATTTAAGTACATAAGTCTTTGGTGCATGGTTTAAGCTTCAAGTTATCTCATACAGATGTTTGATGTGTGCGTAATTTGAAGGATCATCTGAGGAGTTTAAAGCATGGATAAGGGTTTTGATTTTGGTCAAAGTCAATAGAAGTTTGATTCTTTATTCCAAAATTCTTATGAATTTTCTTTTGTTTTTTCATCTCATTGGTATTTTTGATTCAAGATTGCAAAGGATATGGAAATATGCAAAATAGAGAGGAAGTGGAAATTCAATTTTACACTTGAATACAAGGAAATTTCTTTGAGTCTTTCATTGATTTTTGCTTGAAAACATAGTTTGACTTTTGGGAATTAAGTTTACAAGGGACCAAATTCTAAATTCATGGAATTTCTTTTGTTTTCAAGATGGTTCATCATCCCATATTTCTAAACTTTTCAATTAGAAGAATCAAGATACAAGAGTATAAATCCTAAACTAAAATTTCAAATGGAATTTCCATGGCATAAGCTCCAAGTTCAATATTTTTCTAACTTTTCAAACATCATTCATTCAAGTCTTATACTTTGAAGTTACAAGTTTATTACAAAGTTTGTCTTTAGTCTTACAATTTCTACGAAGGTTCTAAGTCCTAAAAATATAAAACTTTTGTGGCTTCTTCAAACCATCATGTTATTTATGTGAAACTTCACCATTGATCTTCAAGTTTGTCCATAATCTTCTTCAAATTTGTCTTGCCTTCTTCAAGTCTTCCTCTATCACCTTTCCAAGATCATCAATAATCAACTCATGAAATAATAAAAACAAAAAATGGTTAGCAATCAAGAACCTGAACACAAGTCAAAATTTTCAAGAAGATTCATTTTACGATCTCATCATTAGGGTGTTGATAGGAATATGAAAATAAGGTTAGTTTTCAATCATTTTCATGCAACAATCAAAGCCTCATACAATTTTGGTTCACATAAATTAGTTATCAAGCAAGCAATCATGGGACAAATTCCATCTACTAGAAATAGCAAAAACGAGTTTTGGTTCACAGTAGAGTTCAAAACGAGAAAGCTTACTACACAAGTATCACAAAAATAGCATCACGGTTCAACAATTATGAAAAAATCACAGTTTTGTCAAAACAAGAAAGGATAGCAGAAATCACAAGTCTAACTCATTTTCACATCACAATTATTGCAGCAAAACAGAATGCAAAAATAATTGCATAGGTCCAGCCCAACAGCAGAAGTTCTCACAATAGAAATTATAGCATATCAGTAAAAAAAAATTAAATGATGACATCTCAGAAAATAAAAAAAAAAACAGAAAGTCAGTAGCCCAAAACATAAGTGAATTCTCACAGGCCTGTTATCAGCTCAGAACAAACCAGAAATCCTAAAAATTCATCATCATCTTCCCTTGCACAATCCCTTCAGAATACAGAGAAAGAGAAGAGGAAATGAAGCTTTTGAAAAAGTCACAATTAGAAAGATATTACCGGGAAGAGCCTCAGCTATTGGCATCGTGTCGAGAGCCTGATAAACCCATAAATTCGTTACAGTCATGTCCTCCTCCTCATCAGGTATATGTTGAACTATAAGTGAAACTTGAAGGTGAACCAAAAAAATAGAGCTACAAGCCAGCCTTAGCAAGGGTCTGACATTCAGTCTGTATGTAACATAAATCGGCTATATATCTTGTAAGGCGTCCTCAACACAAAACGGAAGCCTGCATATTTAAAATTATAAAATATAAATATAAATAAAATTAGACGCGAGGAGGAATTTTCAAAAGTAGATTAAATCAGAAATTATCGTGAAACTTAACAGCTCAGAAATTTATCCAAGGCTTCTTAAGGAAGTTTCACAAACTCAATCTTGACCATTCAATTTCTCTAACTGAAAATCAAAATCAACAGACAAGATGGAATCAAGTTGTAACTAACTTCTACTGATAACAGAAGTATAAAAAAGGGAAATCACTTTGCATCGTTCTTCATTCTTCAACTGCGGAAGAATTACCACACAAAATCTCAGAAAAATTTCTCTCTCAACCTTGATTATGCTTCATCTTTACACGCGCTCTCTCCCTCTGCAATCTTCACGTAGCTTCATCTTCATCTTCCAAAAATATCTAACAAACACTTTGCAACACCTTCAATCCTTCAACCTTCATCTCTTCTGATCTTTCAATTCACTATAGTCTTCATATGGTTCACCATATATTAAATTATGCTCCAACACCCTTGCATCTTCATCAGATAAGATTCAAACGCACGCTTCGGTTAAATCTCTATGTTGCATCAATACACGCATAGAAAATAAGAAAAGATGTAGAAGAAGAAGAAGCGTAAATGCGAATAAATGTGCTTACCTGAGCATCTCGTTACCGGATCCGTTGAAAATCCATCGGAGCTCCTTAGGATTCGTCTGAGTTTCGTCAGATCTAGAAAGGTTGAGTATGAATAAGAAGATCGAAGATGGAAGAGTGATCCGCAAATGAAGTTGAATCAGAATTAAGAAAGTAAGGCGGAGATGAGAACAAGTGTTGGCTAGGCGGTGGTGCTGAGTGGAAGATGAAGCCGTATTGAACACGACGAATCCACGACGGTGTTGTAATGATTGCATGAGACAGAGACAACGACGTCGTTGTTGAGATGATGGTGGAACCCGGAGAAGGTTGATTCATAAATATCGAAGCTTTGTATAGGAAGCATCACCGAAGTTGAATCGAAGGTTAAAGCAACGGTGGCAATGGCGTTAAGCTCAGGGTAAATTGGTGAAGAGATAATGCACCACCGCGGGTGAGATGAAGGAGAAAGGAATCGTAAGAGTTGAATGGTCACGCAAAGAATACCCTAATCCCTTCTCAATTCTTTTTCAGTTAAATTCCTTGTTTTATTTTTATTTGTTTTTAATATATTCTAAATAAAAATGTTGAATTGAGATGATGTTATTGGGCTAACTAACAAAACATCTCCCTTGGCCCACAAATCTTTTTTGATAGCTTGAAATTCAAACACAAAAAAACTGGCTTTCTGAACTATAAATTGGATGGGCCTAGCGCCCTGTTTGAACAAGTCATCAGATTCTGACTTGTACCTCCCTCCTAAGCCCAATGGCATTATTTTTGGTTTATTGTGCGATATGCGGATATGCTCAAGATTTCGATTGTAATTTTTTTCACATCGATGATTCCTTAGTGCTTATTCCAGGTATTTGATTTTTGACTCTTTTCCTTGATTGGTGAAGCATTCGTGAAGATTATCGGGTTTCTTTGTTTTGATACGCTTTGCTACAGATTAATATTTGTTTAGTATTTTCTCTTATTTATCTCATTTCGCACTTTACTGCTTTCTAGAGATCATTTATAGTAGGGGCGTTTATTGCTTTCTAGAAATCATGTGAAGTAGGAAGCAGGAACTAAAGAGCGTGTGCTCGAAGTCGCTGTTTAAAGTCCTGTAGCAGGCACCATTTTCTATATGCTAATTGTGTTTGTTTAAAATCCTACCTTGGAAGTAGGTATTATGCACGTGTGTTTATATTTGTGCCCGCATTATTACAGGTGATAAGTCCTCAAAAGGAGGCGAGCGGAAAGGGTTCGTAACCGAACCTCGCACATACCAGTCCATGTCTTTCCTATGCTCACTTTCTACAAGTAGATGCTCTGAACGTGTGCCCAAGATCTGAATGAATTTAAGTCCTTTAAAGGAAAGTGAAAAGGGTACCCATAATCGGATCCCCACGCTTTCTTTAGCTCATGTTGACCAACATTGATGCTTAGTGTATGCATACACTGTGTCTTTTCCCCCAGATCTTTCCTGCCCTGGTAATTGATATCACGGTTAAGGCCCCTTTTATATTCCTATAATACTATAGCTTGTTGACTCGGGTGATACGCTCCCCTTGACTATGGCTTGAACCTTGGTCTGATGCTTGGTTGCTTGTCTATGGAGGGACCTCCCTTTATACTACTAGGCATGTGCCTTGTAGGTGCTTGATATTCGAGTGATGCTCGAGCTTTTGTTTGTCCAGATGTTTTGCCATCTGTTTGCTTATTATTATTTTTTGTCACAAGATATGTGATATTTTTGCTACTTCCCTTAGGATCACTCGATTATAGTATCTTTCGAGGTAGACATAAGGATATATATCCATGCATGTTAACATAGGGTAGAAGCTCCCCTTTCATCCTCTACTTTAGGGTCAATCATTGTATGATAACATTAGGAGTAGTGCTAGGCTAGTCTCCCTTAGTTACTTTTCCTTTCTTTGCATATTGCATCTTAGAACTAAAAATTCTTCTTGGCAAATCATAAAAATGTCTCTAATGAATTTAAATCCTTTTCAAGGTAAAAAATACAAACCGATCTTAATTGTTGGTGCACCATTTTGGCTTTGTTTTAAAGTTTTTTTAAATTGATGTTTCTCCATCCTTGCCATGTTATCTTTCTATCTTTTAGTCGATGTTTCTCCATCGCATATGTTTGTCTCTGATGTGTCACCATCACATGCATTTGTTATCCTACTTTGATTCTCAATATCATTGTTAGGTATGATGTTTTTTCATCTGGACTGTTGATGTTTCGCCATCTTTACCATGCTATCTTGCTATCTTTTTACCGATGTTTCGCCATTGCATATGTTTGTTGATGATGTTTCGCCATCGCGTATGTTTGTCATCCTACTTTGATTTTTGATATCATTGTTAGGTGTAATGTTTTTTCGTCTTGTCTGATATTTTGTTATCATGCTGACGTTTTATCATCTTATCTGAGTTTGTGTTTCCATGTGATATCTTGTCATCCTTTTTGTTGTTTTACCATCGTTGTTGATGTTTTGTTGTTTTTATCCGATGTTTTGCCATCTTGATTGTTGCTTTTGTCTTCTTAACTAAAAAACACAAACCAACCGAAATATATTAGTCAAACTACGGCTGCTCTGATTCCTTAAAAGGGATACGTAGGCATTGGGGTAGGGCCCAAGCGAGCACAACTTTTATTTTCCCTACATTCTTTTCTCCTTTCTTTAGGATGTATTCCCTGTACAACCTAGACATAGATTTTACACACCCTTAGATTAGAAAAAACAAGAGTGGATACCATAGAGTACTACAGGCGTGTGGGGTGCTAATACCTTCCCTTCACGTAACAGACTCCATTACCCAATCTCTCAGTCGTTTGATCATAATTTCACCCTTCTCGGGTTTTCTCTATGTTTACCTTTCCCTTATTGCGGGATAAAATACGTTCGGTGGCGACTTCATTGACTTCATTCATCTAACAGTTAATTGTATAAGTACGGAAAATAAAATGCAGGAATTTAAAGACCTACAACTATTACATCCCATAAGAAGTTACATAATAGAAAAAAATGTGAGGAAATGTAAACTACGACTATTACAAAAGTATTCGTGCGACCTATACATTTGTTTTCTAGAATTTAAATAGAAAAAGAATAAATGAAAAGAAATTAAAGGACAAAATAAAATAACTAAAATCCTAAGCAAGAAAATGTTTTTGGTTTTTTTTATGAGAAAAAATAATTTTGTGTTAATAATAATTGGAATTTGATTTATGAAAATAAATTAATTATAAAACCCTAATTCTAATTAATTAATTAATTATAAAAGTTGTTAAAATAATTAATTAAAATTAATCTTAACAAAACAAAACAAAGAAATTAATTATAACATTTTTGTGGATTTGATTTTAATGATGTTTTTATGATTATTTTTTTATAAAATGAAATTAATTGAAAAAGAAAAATGTAAATTAAACAAAACAAAACAAAATAGAAAAAGAAAAGATGGGCTAGCTGTAAGAAAACTGGGGGTGAGAATCTGAAATTTTCTAAGCCCAACTTGGTTAGACCCAATAACTGCGTATGATTTGGTGTGCATAGCCCTTGAGGTTCCATGGTAGGAGTGCATCCTTGAGAAGCTGGATCTGAAACTCAAAAGTACTTGAGCCCTAATAATGGCATCCTGCAATCTAAGCACTTAAGCTCACATGTGATACGTTAGATCCATTCCAAACACTGATAACAACGTGGATGTATCCATATAATTAAATTAAATCGTATAATGAAAGAGTTTAGGATCCAGAATTTTTACCAAAAATCGATGGACTTGGTGTGGCTATTCTGGTGTGTCTGAGAGTGAGCTACTGATATGTATGGCCTCCTGGAACCTTTAGGAAGATGGTACGAGGCTTGAAATTGCTCGAATATGGCCGGAAATTACTATACGAAATTGCAAATTTCTTTGAAAAATATGAAGAATTCGGGAAAGCTTTTGGAGAGCTTTTTGAAGATATATTTGAAGAGGAATTTCGTTACCTTTTGCATATGGTTTTCTTATGCTTATATAGAGGTATGTATAAGGCAACATACATGGCAAGGAATCAAGTAATCAAACCATGATAAAACAAAAACCAAACATATTGAAAACTTTCCATTTTTTGAGTTTGTTCTTGCCATTTTTGAAGATCCTTGTCTCAAACATGTCTCTCACAGTTTTGGAAAGCTTTTATGAGGTTTTGGGCCTTCTAGAAGATCCAAAACAAAAGCCCACATGCCTTATACCATTATTTCATATTTTATTTGATTTAATTTGCATTTAAATGAATAAAAATTCAAATAAAAGAAATAAAAATTAAAAAAAATATGTGAATGGATTTTGAGGTTCTCTAAAACCTTATCAACATGTCTGAACATCAAAAGTTAGGTCCACTAGTTCAAAGCTTCAAGTTTGTTCACTTTACATTTCATGCATTTCCTCAAAATTTCCCAACTTGTGAAACTCATAACTTGCTCAATTGTCATCTTTTGAAGGTGATCTTTGAATTTTTAAAAAGCTCAAGATGTCATCTACACTTTATCTTTTGATTATTTATGCATTTGGAGGATTTATCTTGATATAACTGGCCTTGACAAAAAATGACTTTTTGTTGACTTTCAAAAAGACCTGTAATGTATTGTCTCATATCTTTACAATAATGCACTCTTAGAACTTGAGGGAAAAAGAAAAGTTGTAGGAATGGAATTTTATTCACAACGAGCTTTGGTTGCGGAAAATGGATGAAGTGTGTGAAAGTTATGCATGGTCAAAGTTTAGTTGACTTTCTCTAAGAAACCCTAATTTGGCAAGTTTTTGACTCTTGATGATTTGAGAGCATTCCTTGGGAAATCATGATCAACCCTTGATAAAATGATGTATATCACTTCAAAATTTTGATGTTAAACAAAAAATTTGAAGTTTGACTGTATTTTGGTCACAGTTGACTTTTTACCTAGTATAGTTGATTTCCATGTATTTGAGCAATTGACTGAGAAAGCTTGTAGTGCAAGGCATGAAACTTGGCATGGACATTCTTGAGGACATATTAGGGACCATGGAAATCACTCGAAGCCTTTGCAACCTAAAATTATTTGTGTGAAGTGAAACCCTAGTTGGAAGTCCATTACTTAGGAGGAGAATTTATCTGGCCAATTCTTGGCCAACCTTGAGCAATTGAGGACTTTAATAAGCATGTCTTGAGTAAAATGGGAGGGAAAATTTTGGGGTACAACATTCACCATGACCCAAAGTCGTACAAATCTCTAATGATAACCTTGGACATCATTCT